TGATTGCCTATTTAAGTAGTCCGCTTATTACTAAGTTCTACACTAGATGCTATACCTATAACCCAACTAGGGAGTTACCTATTTAAACCCTCTGCGCCATAATTTGTTGTAATTTGAATTATTATAATTTCAAAAAGTATTTGAAAAAAAAAATAAAAATAAAATTGAAAATAAATAAAATAAGGAAGAGAAGGAAAAGATAAAAATGGCTCAATACGTATATATCAAGACAGCTTTTGTCTTGAATCAGCCTACAATTGAACATGTGACAAGCCCTCATGGGAATACATTTATATGATTGGTTAATTTTAGTAAATCTACTTGTAATTTCTCGTGATAATTAACTAATCAAAATATATAATTTTATTAATACTATTAGTACTAGAAATGAAAAAATGTTGCATAAAGAAGCTTACAAACTAATAAATATATGCAAAAAATATATTACTTATATTTAGAGAATAAATATACATGCATAAAGTGGGTAAATATGATATTTATTACTAATAACCAAAACTTATTAAAGAATCTATATACAAGATCTACATACTGTAACTATTAATGGGAGAGCTTATGTAAATAATATGGAATAAAGACCAATTTAACTCTAATAGTATACAGAAAGATAAAGATAACTTAGAGTAAGTGAAATAGGTCTTTTATAAGTGTCAAGAAGCTAGTAGAGCAATATAGTACTTTAGAGTAATACTTTGATATCAATAAGCGATAATATTGGGTGAAGCAATAACAGGTAATATCATTAAGAGTGATAACAAAGGATGATCCTAAGGACTGTGGTGATAATCAAGAGGTTGAATAACCAATTATAAATATTGTTCTCTATCAAAATAGCAATATCTGATTTCACAATTGTTCCAGAATCTGAGTCTTAATATTTCAAATTGATGTTACAAGTCAATTTAGTCTATCAAATTAAGTCTCAAATGGGTTTATTAAAGTTGCAAGTCAAATTCAGAGAATATATATATATTTTTTTGGTTTTAAGATGACCTTTTGGTTGTGTTTCGCTTTATTGTGCTAGGACAGTCATTATACATATTTGGAGAGTATATTTAGTTATATCTGTATCTTTTGAGCATCTATTTAAGTAGTCTGCCTATTTTTAGATTCTATACTATTTGCCATACCTGTAACCCAACTAGAGGTTACCTATTTAAACTTTCTGCACCTATGTACTCTAAGGTCTGCATCAATTGGCACCCTTCCTCTAGTCTGTTTGATCTAGTCTTCATATGCGTATTTCGAATAACTGACTTAGGACTACTTTATCTTTGAGATAAACTTTGCAGGATCCACAGTAATCCTATTTTATACCACATCTAGCTTGCACTTTAGTTTAGTATACATGGATCACAGCCTGCCACTTGCAGCTCAGTTTTACCTATTCTAAAAGTATATATAGTTCAGGTTTGAGATCTTTGCCTATAGTTTTTCTACCAGCTTAAACTTTCTCCTGCTTCCTTTCTATAGTTTAACTCTAGTTTGGCTAAACTCGGCTACCAAATCTACTTCTGCCCTTGTAGAGTTCACTTAAACCTCAGAACTTACTTCATAGTATATCCCTAGTACTTTAGTAATCTAGCTCCTCTTGCTCAGACTTCTAATTCAGATAGCCTGGTATGTAATTACTTATTTTTTTCTAATTTGATAGTGGCCTAGTTGGTATTGATGATTTCATCTATTTGTTAATAGCAGAAGCCCCAACCCTGGTTCTCAACTTCCAAGCTAAATGGCCCGGTAACCATATATTTTTCCTTTGTACCTAGAAAATTACTCTTTGAAGGCTGGCTAATAGATTTTCTACCATCGCCATGACTTGCTTGCAATTGCAGTGGCTCTCTAGCTAGATTTTTAGTCCTCTTTCCTATTTGCAGCAGTCTAGTTAGTATGGGCACAACCCTAATACCTTGTATTCTGTTCAGTTTAGTTTATATAGGTTTTATTTTCTAGATTTAATCTTTATAGCAGCTCTATTAAAGATCTGTACTACCTCTCTACTCGGGACTTGCCAAGTAGGCTTCTATATTTGCAGTTCTCCAGATTTATATAGGCTGGTAGCTTATCTTGTATTTGTACTATCCTATTATCAGTTTGCATTTCTTTGTATTACTTTATATTATATGAATACCTAAATCTCCCAATCTTGCTGGTATGACCATAGTTACATATATCCTATTTCAACTGATTATCAAATACAGTTAGCCATAACACAAGCAAAATTTTTGAATTTTTGTTATTGGTGAGATTTGAACTCTTGACCTGCCACTTGGGGGTAACAACTTGACTACTCCACTATATTGTCATACTTATAATTCAGAGAATATTTCACAAAAGAAAATTCAGTTAAGTATATATATTTTATTATTTATTAGTAATCAAGAGTAGATAAGAACTTGTTATTATTTTTTATTCAATTCAAAGTGCTTATATACATTTTTTATCTTATTTCACTCTAATCTAAGCAAATTTGCTTTAATCTAAATGCATTTGCAATCCTAAAGCCAGATGTATAAGCTCAAAGTGCAGAGATTAACAGATTGGTATAATCACATATTCACAATAATTTAGATATATATATGATTTCATATATGCTAAACCACCAAGCTATCCACTATTTTCATTTTAGTATAAGTTATAAAATATTCAAAAAAATTAATAAATATACCAAAATTGGATATTGTTATCAACATAAATAGGTATTACTAATATATTATGTATATAGAGTTAATTAACTAACAAAAATAAATATTTTATATACAAAAATAAAGAAACTGAAATTTTATTCGTAATATATACCTCCTTTCAAGATTAAGCTTCTGCGAAATCAGATATTTAATTTTCTATTGGTAATCCAGAGTAACTCACAATACTTTTAGTAGGTAGTAAAGTGGCCAAATAAATATTTCCTCTGGAATCAAAGATTTGAGTACATGAAATACATAACCAGCATATTAATATATATCAGGACTACTGGTTTGTTGTTTTCTTTATTACTATTTCTATTTGATATATTCTACTATTATTAACTATCATCTTTTTTTTCTATTCTTTTTTTTTATATTATTATCTATTTTACAGGCTACAACTACTATTGATTCTCCAAGCTGCAATCTATTATTTTTAGTTTTATCTTTACATATTATAGATTTCAAGACCTTTTCATATGCTATCTATTCATTCTTGATCATGCCTATGCTATTTCGGAAGCAAGATCTAGGGTTGTATTGTTCAGGTAAATTATTATCTTCAAAGACCTTGTACAAGTTGGGTGGCATTACTTCTTCTTCTTTTTTACTAGGGTAGGCTAACTCTTGATTTTTAACTATATTCTTTATTTTTTGTCTAATACTTTTGTATTCTTTGATTTAATTTCTAGAGCCTTATCTAGATTTACAAGTAGTTCATCGAAATTTTCACAAAAAAAGTACATTTCACTTTTTTAATCAATTTTTTATTCTGATCTCTATTACTTTTGTTGTTTGTATGTAGTATCTTTTTATTACTAACAGATTCTTCAATTTTATTTATTATTCTTTTATTATCTCATCAAAATCAGTTTTTCATCATCATCTTTTTCCTTATTATTCACCATATAGACATTATCATTAGGTTCACAATTCTTAGAATTTTCAAGGCTTCTTCTATCTAACTCGTCATCTTCAGTATCTGTTAAATACTATTCTTCTATACTCCTTTGTTTAACTTTTCAACTCTTATATATGTCTCTATATACATTATCGCTTATTTTAACTAGGTTACCGACCTTGGTAGATTTTTGATAACAAATAAATAATCTATGATTTTGGCTAAATTCTTCCTGATAGGACCAACTAGGGTCTTGTGATTCATTAGCAGGATCTGTTTTAGCCAATTTTTAATAGTGAACAGGTGCTTTATTTTTATCTTTTTCAATTTTATCACCAATTCTATAATCAGCATTCTATCTTGTATTTCATCAGGTTTTTAATAATAGATAAATATATTTTGTTTATATCTTTTTACTCCTATTTTGGCTTTATTATCTAATTCATTTTTATCATCATTATTGAAGTCTTTCAAATAATCAAGATAAAAATCATATACGCTACTTTTTTTTTTTATCTTTCTTAATACCAATTTCTTCTTTATAACCTGTACTAGCAGATTTTTCATAATATTTGAATACTTAATGGTTATTCTCAATTTTGATTCTATTTTGATACCAACAACCAATATTATCCAACCTATTAGCATTCTTCATATCAATAGACTTTGGATAAGCAAATGCTTTATGTTTATACTTTTAGTTCTCTCTTCTATTTCGATAACAATCGCCAAGTTTGTTTATTCTATCAATATAACTGGGGTTACTATTTTCATTGTTAATTTTTGGCAGACAGTTATCTTTGGGTTTAGATAACTAGGTATTCAAGATTTCGAAGTAACTATCAATTAAATCTTTCAAATCTTCTTCTAGGCTATTCTTAGAAGTATCATATGATTCAAGGGTTGGGTCATAGTTGGTGAACTTGACTTTGCAGACAATCTTTTTCAGAAAGCACTTTAATACAGGGAGGTAGATCTACTATTTCTTTTGCTTCTCTCTTGTTTTTGTTAACTAAATCTTTTATTACTTTTAACAAAAACTCTAGGACCTCCAGAATTTGTTTATTATCAACTACTTCAAAAAAGTTTTCAGATACTAGGCTTAGAACTTTTTCATATTGGCTTGGAGTAAGTTTTATAAAAAGCTTCATACCCTTTTATCTAAGGGTTTTACATATGGGTACTTAAAGATGAGGTGGCTTTTTCTTAGCTATCAGAGGTACAAAGTTTTTTTAGAAAAAATTTTCTCTATGCATTTCCTGGAGAATGCTATGAATCTCTTTTCTTAAAATTTGTTAGATCTTTTATTATATTGTTAGGAAGCTTGAAGGCAGGATTATTAGGGCTATATGGAACAGAAGTAATCTGTATTTGTTGGATAAATATTCTAATCTGTGCAACTAAATTTTTTATACTAATAGATTGGTTGAGCTGGTTATATAGATTATATTGTAGAGTTAAATTAAAAAAATAGACCATAGATAGATTTTATTTATTTATTTATTTTTTATTTATTTATTTATTTTTTTAATTTTTTTTTTAGTTTTATCTGATGAGCTAATAATATTCTATCAAATTTAGAAGTATTAATTGTTCAAATCTATATAACTGGTACCAAATATAATAGTTGATAGGAGAGCTTATATAAATAATATAGAATAAAGGCCAATTTAACTCCAATAGTGTATGGAAAGATAAAGATAACTTTGGATAAGTGAAATAGGTCTTTTATAAGTATCAAAAAGCTAGTAGGGTGATATAGTACTTTAGAGTAATACTTTGATATCAATGAGCAATAATATTAGACGAAGCAATAACAAGTGATGCTATTAGAAATGATAACAAAAAATGATCCTAAGGAATGTGGTGATAATCAAAGGGTTAAATAACCAATTATAAATATCATTCTCTACTACAATTCTCATGAGTCTCTATGTAAATAGCAATATCTGATTCGCAATTATTTCAGAATCTGAGTCTTAATATTCTACATCAAAGTTACAAGTCAATTTAATCTATCGAATTGCGTCTTGAATAAGTTTTTTAAAGTTGCAAGTCAAATTTGAAGAATATTTCACAAGAAAAAATTCAGATAAGTAAATATATTTTATTATTTATTGGTAATCAAAAGTGGATGAGAACTTGTTGTTCTTTATTCAATTCAAAGTGCTTATATACATTTTTTATCTTTTAGAGTATTTTTGCTTTAATCTAAGCAAATTCGCTCTAATCTGAATATATTCATGATTTTTTGGGTATATACATCTTGATCTGGATATATATACTTAAGACACAGAAATTAACAGATTGGTGTAATTGTGTATTTGTGATAATTTAGATATATATACAATTTTATATATGTTAAGCCACCAAGCTATTGACTATTTTCATTTTAGTATAAATTATGAAATATTCAAAAAAATTAATAAATATACCAAAATTGGACATTGTTACGAATATAAATAGATATTACTAATATATTATATACATAGGGTAATTTACTAACAAAAATAAAGATTTTATATACAAAAAATAAAGAAGCTAAAATTTTATTTATAACAGTACAAGGTATAAACCAAAACTTTAACTATTAATATATAGCTGACAAACCCAAAGCACTACAAGAACTGATTAAATTTAAATATTAAGCCCAGATCTTCTACTATTAAGAGCTTGTACCTATTCAAATTAAATAGTTAAAAATAAAAGTTTGTCTAAATTTAACATAATAAAATAGTTTTAGATGAAAATATTTTCAGTTATCTTTACTTTACAATATGGCTCAATAAACAGTAGGCATACTTTGCTTCTAAGTAAAGTTCTTGGGTTTACTGATTATTTCTGATTTTTTTGTATAGTGAATATAAGTGTTCTTTCGAAGTAAAAAATAACTTTAGCAATGATTTTTTATTAGTGAAATATTACATTCCTAAAAAGTACTTTAAATTGTATAAATAAGTAGGCTAGGAGCTAGGAAAAAGAACCAAATTGACAATTTTTTCAAAAGTAATTTTTTTATATAAATCAATTTAGAATAATATTAGGATCATTTTTTAT